GGTTCTTGGAAACTTCAACTCTAAGCAAAATAATGTGTAACAAAACCAATTTGCCATAGGCTAACTGATATAAGCAAGAGATAAGTTCCTATAGCATATTTCTGGTCATAGCAACATCACCAAAATTGTAAATATAGACCCAAAACACTTCTAATATTAACCATTTAAATAAATCTAAGCTATACATATATTTAAGAAAGATTAATAAAATCAAGTAAGATCCTTGTTTCCGCAGTTTTTCGTGAGTCAGTGAATGATGGCAGTCATTGTGATGGTGGTTAAATCAAGGAATAATGGTTTGCAACATGAAAATTGTAAGGAGCATCTCCCTTCACCACACAATTCAAAACCAGTCACAAATGTGGCCAGCTCACAGAGTGCTTTCCTGCCACATTCGTTGCCATGCATCTGTGTGAATATCATATACTTGACAAATTTTTATTTTATGATAATTTGTAAATATTCATTCATTCATTTTCTAACCTACTTGTTCCAGTTGAGGGACTCAGGAGTCTGGTGCCTCTCCTGGCAGCTCAGGGCACAGGGCAGGAGCCCACCCGGCCAGGACACCATCCCATCGCAGGCGTGCTCACACCTACACCCACACTCACTCACACTGGGACCGTGTAGGCGGTGGGCAAGGACACCTAACAGGCGCAGCTTGGGGATGTGAGAGGAAGCCAGAGTACCTGAAAAAAACCCATGCAGACATGGGGAGGACGTGCCAACTCCGTACAGACAGCGGCCTCAGCCAGGAATCAATTTTTTTTCTCATCAACATTGTAATGAAACGACTTTGAACAAAATGTCATTATTCAAGAACCTGCTATATGCTATAAATTGTGCACTTTAAAAATGGGTGAATTATATCTCAGTTAAATGGGTGTGTGTGTGTGAGCGTGTACACACAAGATTCCCCTTGGTTCAAAATTCTAATATTTCATAAACAAGCCCATGTGCTCATGTTAATTTTGCCTGTGATTTTATAAACCTTTTCATGTTACTCCCCTGAGCCTTTCCATTTCCTAGCTAAAGAGCTCTGGTTTTTTCAGTTTAACCTTCTGTACATTAATTTATCAACCATCAAGTACATATTTAGCACCTCTCTTGAGCTGCAACAGACAAATTGTTATAGGGCCAATGGTAATGGCAGAAAGGAGCCATTGTCACAGGAATTATTAATAATAAATTAAAATAGCAATTGGAACTACAGCCCTTCTGTTGGAGAGGCACAATAGTGACTTAACTGTGATTGTGGTGACAGGGAGCCAACAATTGAGTCCCTGCTAATGGGCCAACAGGGGAAGGGGTTGAAAAGAAGGAATGAGTGGTTTACATTACAAAGGGATTGTCTCAGAGCTGCTCAAGTGTGGTTATGAGGGGAGGTCAGGCTGGAGACAGAAGGGATGATAACCGTGGAGCTGTCAAGGGCATCTCAGGGGTTTAGGCAAGCGCTGTGGCAGCTAGACACGGCTGGCTGAGAGCAGACATGTCCTGGTCCTGCCTAGCGTTGATTGATAAAAAGGAAACACAATGAGAAGATAATCAAGCAAACCAGGAAGCCTGGGCAAGTGTCACAGAATTTAAAAGTGAGTCTTGGGAGCCATCAGAACCTTGGCTGAAAATACTCTTGGTTTCACTTTGACCAGAATTGGACCATTCTGTGGGGAATAAGACTGCTGGAAAAGGGTGTGTGTGTGTGTATGTGTGTGTGTGTGTGTGTGTGTGTGTGTGTGTGTGTGTGTGAGAATAAAATGCTCTGATTGGTAGATTGACCGAAAAGAGTATGTCCTTGACATTTGATGAACTCCTTCTCATGATTGTACTTTTCCGAAACACACACACACACACACACACACACACACACACACACACGTGTGCACGCCCAGCTTTTACCAGATGCTTTGAGGTATACAAAAAATCATGAACATCTAGACACAGTCCATATTCCATTTGTCTCATTTGTTCTAATACTGTCCTTTGTACCATTTTCTCCTCCAGTCCAGGCTGCAGCCAAGGATTATGTATTGCATTTAGTTGTCATGCATTAGAGAGACAGAGCTAAAGAATTTAATGAAACAAAATAGGGCAAAATGTTAAATATTGATGAATCTGGGTAAAGGAATGTTCTCCCTGTGTGACCCCTGCTGACCTCTTTATCCCAGTCTCATAAGACTTGTACTCTTGCCAAAGACACTGCAGCCCCAGTGGCATTCTTTTTGTTCTTCAAACAAGCCAAGCTATTACCACCTTTAGGCCTTTGACTCAGAACCCCCTCTTCTCCCTGAGCTACACGTGGATGGCTCCTTCTTGTCATTTAGCTCTCAGTTGACATGTCATTTCCAAGAGAGGACATCCTGCTAACTGAAGTAATGACCCAATCACTTGCTATCTTTCTGTAGTAATTATCTGCCTAGACCCATTGCCAGCTAATAATTTTGTCGTTTTTGCCTGTGTATCCAAGCACCCAAAACAGCACCTGGCACTAGTTAGGTGCTCAAAAACTATTTGTTGACTGAATGAACTAATCTAAATGTCCAGAAACACGGAGTCATTACAAATGATAGCAATGTTTATGGATGTGCTTTATGTAAGAAAATGCTTTAGAACTCCAATCAGGGGACCTATACTCAAAAGAAGACCTTGGTCCTACATTAGAATATTGGTGAATTAATGCACATTTGTATATTACAATTTAATATTAAATTTTTAAGATCTATAAAATCTTTTTTATATTGTCCACTCTACTAAACTTTTTTGATTATGAAATAAATACATAAATTATACTGGTTAAGAGGACATCTGTCTCTCTATATATACACATAATTCCAATTATATAAGTAGTATTTTTTATATATGAATATTTAAAAAACCCAGAAAGGAAATATATGAAAATAATAACTCATCATTTTAGGGAATTAGAATTATGAATAATTTTTACTTTTTTATTTTCCAAACTTTCTGAATGTGGTTCTATTATTTTTCTAATTTATAAAATATTTTTGACAGAAAAAAACATAAAACAGGATAGGTAAGATCCTAAATAAAATTGTAAATGCAATTTGGATATGGAAGGATTTTCTTGAATTCAGCATGCTGAGTGAAGCTGTATGGAAAATAGTGGTAATTGCTCTGGGCTTTGAAAAGACTCATAGGATTATTGAAGGTGAAAATACAAGGTAGAGAGAGCTTTTTAGGCTGAAGAAGTGGAATGAGCAAAGGTAGGAAGGGAGCAGCCAGCACATAGGAGACCATGAGGAGACCAATCTAAGGGAATGGAAAGCTCTTGTGTAGGGGCTGGTGGGAAGCAAGCCAAGAGAGCTAAGATAGGATCACATTTTAGAAGATCTTTCAAATTGGGCAAAGAGGTTTAGATTAGAAGTAGAAAGAAATAAGGAAGTTCTGGCCGGTCACGGTGGCTCACGCCTGTAATCCTAGCACTCTGGGAGGCCGAGGCGGGCGGATTGTTTGAGCTCAGGAGTTTGAGACCAGCCTGAGCAAGAGCAAGACCCCGTCTTTACTAAAAATAGAAAGAAATTAATTGGACAACTAAAAATATATAGAAAAAAAATTAGCCGGGCATGGTGGCGCATGCCTGTAGTCCCAGCTACTCGAGAGGCTGAGGCAGTAGGATCGCTTGAGCCCAGGAGTTTGAGGTTGCTGTGAGCTAGGCTGACGCCACGGCACTCACTCTAGCCCGGGCAACAAAGCGAGACTCTGTCTCAAAAAAAAAAAAAAAGAAATAAGGAAGTTCTTCTTATAAAAAGGAAAGAAATAAGTAGATTCTTGAGAAAAAGGGTAGCATGATGGCCTATGTGTTTTAGGAAAATGGCTGTGTTCAGGGAGGGAAACAGAGCTGGCCGTTGGGAGGTGTAACACCAGTATCCATCTGGTGTCCATGGCAGACACCAGAATCAATCACAGCTCTGCTGTGCAAGACGCAGCCTTAGAACCATCTTGACCAGCCCTGCAGTCAGCCATTGCTAGTCAATCAGAGTGGGCTGTGAAACTTGATTGCCTCCTGTGTGTGTCCTACTAGATGAGTGAATGATGGGGAGGAGGAAGACAGGAGAAAAGAGGTTCAGGCCCAAAGGACGAAAACTTGGATTTTAGTAATTCTGAAAATATAAGAAGGATAAGTTTCTGGAGATGTTTCTTTTGTATTTGTAGGTTTGTATTTTAATTAGGGCCAGAAATAGAGATCTTTTTGTATAACTCATTATTCAGTTGTTCTAGAAACGTTTTGCTTTTTCTTTCCAGGTCTTTGTCACTAGTGTACAGTTTCTAGGCACTTGCTTTTTTTAAAAGAAAATTTTTTCTTAAGTATTTAATAAACCTTGAAAATAGTAACTCCAACAAATGATGTGCCAAAAAAAGACTCTCACCCGTTTTTAATCTAGAAAGATTTGGATGCACCTGCTGTGTCCACTCGTGGGAGTTAGGTTGTCAGAATATGTTAAGCCACTATTTTTGGTTTTTAAAAAAAAAGGTTTTGTTTTCTGTTATTTTTTTAAAAGCAGGTTTTAGATTGCAAAGTAGCAAACAACATTAAAAATGAAATGAAATTCTTTCATTTGTGGTGGAGGTGGGGGAGCTTCTCCTCTGTCAGTGTGTGGGCTGCAAGCAGAACAGAATGTTTATCTTAACTGCCTGTTGAATTTGGAAAATAAAGTTAGCAATAGCCAAAAGGCCTTCTTTTGAATAGCTTATCACAAAAGGGAAAACATACATCTAGTGGCAAGTCAACTGTCCCATATATGCTAGTATTTCTTGGGCGGGTCTGTGAATATTGTTGCTTTACCGTATAAAATTTCATTTCTGCCCACTTGATTGGTTCAAGGTCACTTCCCAGCACCTCTAACTCCAGGTTTGTTGTTGGCACCAATGGCAGTTGAATTTTTTATTGATGATCTTTCCCCTTTTTGTCCTTTCTTTCCTTCTTTTCTCTCATCCTTTTTCTTCCTTTCTTTTTCATTATCTATGTATGGCTCATGGTCAAGAGCTTACAAGACCCTATGAAAAAACTAGTTAAGAAAGAAGAAAAGAAGAAGACCACCCCGCAGGAAAGTACAGATGCGGCAGCGCGGGAGCCGAGTCAGTAAGTCACGAGCTACTTCTCTCGGCACGATCTTTCTTCCCACAGGTGAGGGTAGCACAGTCCTTACCCACCCAGTCTAGCTGAGGTTTCAGACACAGAGTCATCGTCTTACGTCCTCACTTCTCAGAGTAGATGTATTAACACCCAAGCCAAATGCCTTCCGTGCACATTCCTGCGAGGCCATGACTCACTTATTCCAGTGAGAGACCCATTTCAGGCGACTCAGAAGGGGCCCACTTGTGAGGAGTTGACTGGGGCAAGAAAGGGCCAATGTCCCCAGGGCCTCCTGGCTCTCTGTCTTGTGGCCTCAGTTCCAGCTTCACACTCTCTCTGGTTTCTGGACCCTATCTTGTCCTTTTGTCGCCGCTAGATGCTCTCCTAGACAGGAATTCCCTGGCTTTTCTCTCTCGAAGGAGCTGACCTATGAAATTGCGTTAGTCACCCATGTGGTACGAAGGCATCATTACACAACAGAAGAGTTGGGCTTTGGCATTTTGTTTTCCAGTGTACAGAATTTCTGTTTCTCCTCTGTGGAGCAGAGAACAGCTTCGAGTGCAGGAAGTGACTGCCCCATCCCATTTCTTGCCTCTTTACAACAAGGGTTCCTCTTGTCATTTTAAATGCCGAGATGAACTTTTCGACATATGTGGCACATGGTTCCTAATCTCATACAGTGAGAAGGAGGTTTATATGTGAAGCTATGTTATTTTCTACAGAGATGTAATAGCGTGCAGGAATGCATTCATCTTCGAACTGGCTAACCTAGGAAAGCCAAATAGATGATCTTGCCTCCATTGTTTCCTTTTCTACACAAAAATATTTAGATGACAATCTTACGGGAAAACAGGGTTAGGTTTTTACTGTATTTCTAAAGTTTCTGATATATTTTTTGACCCACAGAAATATTTGCTGCCAATATTAGCCTTTTTAATTTTAAGGCAAATACAGGCTAGAAAAAATTTTTGGTGTAGAATAAAGACAAGTTTTCACTGTAGAACAGACTATAGTATGTGATCTGAGTCTAGTACAATTTTAAGGGCAACCAGCTTAACCTATTCCTGGTGATGGTAATAATGCGAGCTATCGTTTAGTGAGTACCTGTGCCAGGTACAATCCTGGGTGCTTTATGTTAACTCATCCTCATGATAACCCTTAATGTAGTCAAGGTGGTGTTTTCCTCACTGTATAAAGGATGGAAACGAGGCTCAGAGAGGTTAAGGGACTGTCCATGGCCCCCAGGGTAGTCAGAAGCAAAACCTGGAGTATGTCTTTGCATCTCCTTTTCACTATATAAGTTAGTACAATCAAAATAAAGCATTAGCCTTCACTCAGAAGGGAACCACCTAGGGTTTTCTTGATTTTTTTAAATTAATTTCAGATTTCTCAAATATTTTAGTATCATACTTCATTTTTAAAAGCTCAAAAAGTACAACCTAGTAACTTTAAAATGACAGTGAAAATTTAACAAGAATTTTGTTCAAAAGTAGCAGGTAAAAGTGAGCCACGGTGCTAGGAATAAGGTTCAGAGGCAACAAACGGGTCACTGGGCAGTGATGTATTTTTGTCTTTAAAGATATGGTAAGAGTTGAGTAGGTGCCTGTCCACCTGGATTTGAGAGGGATCCTTTCAGCCTTGTATAGTTCAGCAAACCTCCTGAGGTGTCCTCTAACACCAGGAATCAGAATAAATCAACGTTTGATCATTGATTTTTTTTTTACTGTTTTTTAAAGTGATAGCTGTATGCATCTATTTTCTTTATACCTAACTACCCGTCTAACTATTTACAGAATATTTACCTTATGATGAAAGCACATTTCAGATATTAAGATGCTACAGAAAGGGACAGAAAGCCAGCAAATTTATCTCTTCTTCAGAAAATGTGTAGCATATAAATGACGTTGACCTTTCTTCCCGTGTATGTGTACATGTATGTGTTGTTATAAGTGAAGTAATAGATATTGTTCTTAAAATCTGGCTGTATCATAAATATAACATTTGCAAAACTTGATAACTATTGTTTTATTTTCAGATTAATTTCATTAGAGGATGAAAATCAGCACAAGGAATCCTCTAGTTTTAAGAGTAAGTGTTGATTTTTATTTAGAATTGCTTTTGAAATACTACTTAATGCTCAACAGCTAACTCGTTTTCTCTTTTGGAAAACTTATCCTAGATCTTTCTTTTCCAGTTAAGAAAAGGCTAATTTGCTTCCTATAGATTCAGTTTTCAATGCTCAAATATGAACGACGTCAACCCTATAGCATTATTGAGAGAAGCTATGGATTTTGAACCAAAAAATAGCATCACTGGTTACGTCAGCAGCAGCAGCAGCCATGATCAAAACCTGGCAAAAAGCTATTTCTGTTCACAACAGATGATAAGATTTCTGCTGTTACCATTACTAGTTCTAACAGCTATTTGGGCTGCAGGGATAGCTTTAATGAGATAGCTTTGTTTCATCAGGAGAGTTTGATTTGCAGTGATTTGAGGGGTGGGTGTTGGTCACAGTTGGGAGCAGATGGGGAGAGATCACGCCCTGCTCTGCCAGATGATTCTACAGCCTGCCAGGGATGAGCCGTACCAGATCCTCAGGTGAATGGAACCTGCGTGTTAGGAAAAGGGGTCAGAGCGTGGGGAGATGACACAATGTGCCGTGCGGGGCTTATCGGCTTTCTGTCTCCTGCTATTACTGCCAGCTTTTTGATTGGTCCTTCACCCATAAAGGGGTAGCGGGCATGGTCAGTTGTGGCAGAGCAGATGTGATGCAACGCCCCGCATTTCACTGGCACTCGACATCCTCGGAGAGCCAAGGGAATGTTTTACAGGTGTTACGAAGAGAACTAAAATTACCCCGACTCTGTTGAGCCTGGCCCTTGTGGGGACATATCCGTCTCTGCCCTGCTTCTCCCGTTGCTGTGGCAGCCTTTCCGGGAGATAGGAGGAGACAAGACAGATCCTAGAACGTCCCCTCTGCTCCATTCTCCTTCTTCACCCTCTGTCTCCCTTCCTGTTTTTTCCAACCACTTGCTTCGCCTACTTTATTCTTCCCTTACTTTATTCGTTCATTTGCTTTTCGCCTATCTGCCTGTCAACAGAGAAAACAAAGCCAAAAACAGCTCACTTTTTTGCCTCTGATGCATGGCTTCATGTCATCCGCTCATGCGTGGCCGCCTTCACTTACGCATGTACTTGTTCATTCGTTCAACAGATGTTTACTGAGAGCCGCCTCTGTGCCAGGCACAGCGCTGGGCCATGGGCACACGGTAATCCACCAGACATACTCAGTCCCCTCCAGGACAGGACTTACAGGCAACAGGGGAAGCAGATGGTAACCTAATCATTACACAAGTCATCAGGCAGCTCCAGCTCTGGTGGGAGCTCCCAGGGAGAGGTGCAGGGCCATGGGGCCTTGTGTTAGAGAGGCCACACCTGTTTGAGGAGAGTAGGAAACTAGTTAAGCCAAGTGCTATTGCAAGGTTTGTAAAGCAAAAGAAACAGCCTGGGCAAAGGCTGTGAGCCTGGGAGACCCAGGCAAAGGTTAGAGAAACCATGTTCCAGACCATGAGGGGGAGCGAGTGGCAGGAGAAGGTGGTGGGAGTCTGGGCCTGATCTCATTGGTGGTGGAAAAGGTCTCCATCTGTGCAGATCCAGGCCTCCAGCCTCAACGTACCCACAGCATGAGTCACTAGTGTTGTGGGAATCAAGGTAACCGAATAGAAAAATTTTAGTTCTATGGGAAAATGTAAAATGCAGTTTATTAGATCTGTATACAAGTTGCAAATCTATTTATGTGGTATATTCATACAATATGTAACAATGCAAGAGAATCAAATTTTCTCTTGTACAGTATAATTGCTTGTGGTATTTGCATGATATTTTGAGATTGTAAATGTTGATCACCTTGTTTTGTATATGCACAGAATAGAATCCATTATAATGAGGTATCTGTCTTTTATTTTGTGACCTTCAGAAAGGCTAATGAACATATGAGCAAACAAAGTTTTAAGGCTGTTCTATTATACACACACGCTACACTTTATTGTTTAGAATAGTTTTTGTTTCACAGCAAAATTGGGCACAAAGTGCAGACATTTCCCACATGTCCCCTTCCCCCATGTGTGCATAGCCCTTCCCACTACCAACATTGTACACTAGGCTGGTATATTTGTCACAGTCAATAAACCCACATTAACGTCATTATCACCCAAAGTCCATAGTTTACATTAGGGTTCTCTCCTGATGTTGTGCATCTTACAGGCATTACAGATGTATAATGATGCATACCCACCATAACAGTGTCATATAAAATATTAATAGTTTCACTGCCCTAAAGATCCCCTGTGCTCCACCCATTCCTCACTCCCTCCCCTCTAACCTTTGGCAATCACTGATCTTTTTCCTGTCTCCACAGTTCTGCCTTTTCCACAATGTTATACAGTTAGAACCATACAGTATGTAGCCTTTTCAGATTCACTTCTTTCACTTAGTAATCTACCTTTTATTTTAGCCAGGACCATATGGCTAAAGTTTATTAGTGTCATCAAGTAATCGTCAATTACTTAAGTCACACATTTGTCCATGGAAGGAGAATTTTTAGATTGCTGTCATATAATTTTCTGGGTTATCTACCAAACATTCAGGTTCACTCTTGGTGTAGCAAACATTCAGGGCTGTTAACTCGGCGTTCATTGAGAGCCAATAGCTGGAGTAAAACATAACCTTAGGACCCCTGTTTCTGCCTGAGTGAGTTTGTGGATGCTGTTTCTTCCTGAAGCTATACTTTACCAACATTGCGATAGTACGTGAACACGCGCACCATTCTGAGTTGGTGATAACCAATTGCACGTTACATTACAGCCGAAGATGGAAAAAGTATTTTATCTGCCTTAGACAAAAGCTCTCCACACAGTGCATGCTCAGGTAATCTAGATTAAGGAACTCTACTCTATTTTAATAATTTGACTCAAACTCCTTACAAAATGAAACTGATTCATAATTTTGTTTTCTTTCCCCTCCTCCAAAGGACCTATAGATGAACTATTAGATGTGAAACCTGAGGAAGGTGGTAAGATTTATGCATTTCTTTGGGGTTATAATTTGTTTGATTTTTAATTCCTTTTTTACATGCAAGAAGATGTAATGTTTATCTTTTTAATAGTTCTGTATTCCTAAGCAAGTTGTTTTTAGGTGACTGTCTTTATTAATGACTTTAAATGTGCTGAAGCACAAATTAGTATGTGTGGATCTGTCAGAGTTAGTATAATTAATTTCATAATGTTCAAACTACTAAAGCTAAAAGTTATGTCAAAGGTCACATGCTACAGTAGGAAAAAACATGGCTTTCAGAATCAGACAGATGTGGATTTGAACACTGGTTCTACCATAAATGGCTTGTATGGCTTTAAATAATTTGTTTCACACTTAAACTCTCTTAAGCCTCAGTTGTTCTCATGCATAAAATGGAACCTGTAGCAACAGCCTTGCTGGGATATTGTCAGGATTTCAGGACATGTATGTATATATGTAAAGGGTGTTTCATGATCTCTGACACAGGGACACTCTTCAAATGGTCACCTGTTGAGGTAGTAGGACTAAGGATATTTTCCAGGTAGTTTTCTGTGCTACATCTTTACTGAACCTTAGGTTTGCCTGGTTAAGTCCCACCCAAGTTCACCAGACCTAAAATCACTTGCTATATAACCCCCCAAAAGAGAATCCAGAACTCTGGATTTGGATAAGACACGTATAGTGTGTTAAGTGATCCCAAGAAATTGTGTGTGTTCAGCCTAATCATAGCCTTTGTTCTCCATCCTACCAAGCATTTCCTTTTAACAACATACGAAGAGTCCAAAATACCCCTGAGATTTGAAGCCAAACTTTAGAGCATCGCGTGCCCTTGTGGCTGGCACGCAGTCTGCCCTGGTCTTACAGGTTTCTCATAGGACTAGAAACTGGCCCAGATCATCCACAGGCCCCGGTTAACCAGGGCAGATGACTTAACTCAGTCTGAGCTTATTATGGATTTACTTCAGAGAATGTGAAAGGAAGAAAGTCTCTGGAAAACAGAGGACATTGATTAAAGTTTTTTTAAAAAATGGAAAGGCACCACACCTCTGGCATTAGGTTTCTAGGACTTAGGAATATAAACTTGAGGGCAGAAATTTGCTTACCTTACTATAGGCAGCATACTGTGCAATATTTTGTGACTGTGTATATTTTATCAAAATGACTAGTCATTTGTAAATATTGAAATCTACCAGGTAATGGAAGTAATAAGCAGTTAATGCAGATTGCCATAAATGGCCTCCATTTTTGTAAAAATTTTCCCCCTTGGCTTAAGAACAGAATATTGTGAATAAACATGTTTTTATAAATTACTTTTTGGAGAGGGAAATAATCTTACAAAAATCTGATAAAGACAATAACAGAACAAGCTTAAGGACCTACCACCCAGTTTCAGCAAGTCTTAACATTTCACACATATATTAATATTTATAAACACGTGTATGCTTCAACTTATTTTGATAGGAAGATTGTTATTTCTCCTATTCCCAATATTTACGTAATTTGCTCTTTGCTTTTATCACCTTCTTTAATTTTAT